TTCTGAAGAAAAGGAAGATGAAGGCTCTTTCAGGGGAAGTACTGTGATTTTTTTGAGAGGTAGTAAACAACTGGAAGTGGTATACGGACACATTAAAATAAATAAATAAATAAATATATATATATATATATATATATATATATATATATATACATATATACACACTCATACAGTATTTTTTTTATAGTTTTTTTTAAATTAATATATATATATATATATATATATATATATATAAAAAATAATAATTTAAAAAATCTCTAAATAAATACTATGTGTGTGTATGTATGTATGTATATATATATATATATAAAAATTAAAAGAAATCTCAAAAAAAATACTGTGTGTGTATATATATATATACATTATTTTTTTATACATTTTTTTCATTATCAATATATATATATAAAATAATATTTACAAAAATCTCTAAATAAATACTATGTGTGTGTATGTACAGTTGCAAGAAAAAGTATGTGAACCCCTTGGGATTACGTGGAGTTTTGCATGAATTGGGCATAAAATGTGCTCTGAACGTCATCTAAGTCACAACAATAGAAGAACACAGTCTGCTGAACATAATACTACACAAACATTAGATGTTGCCATGGTTTAATTGCACATAACATGTAAACATTCACAGTGCAGGGAGGAAAAAGTATGTGAGGCCCTAGCTTAATGACTTCTCCCAGAGCTAATTGGAGCCAGGAGTGAGCCAACCTTGACTCCAATCAGTGTGATGATATTGGATGTGTGGCTGACAGCTGTCCTGCCCTTAGAAAACACACACCTGTTTTGGGTTTACTGGTTTCAAGAAGCACTGTCTGATGTGAACCATGCCTCGCAGAAAAGAGCTCTCAGAAGACCTACGATCAAGAATTGTTGACTTGCATGAAGCTGGAAAGGGTTACAAAAGTATCTCCAAAAGCCTTGATGTTCATGTGTCCACGGTAAGACAGACTGTCTACAAATGGAGAAAGTTTAGCACTGTTGCTACTCTCCCTAGGCGTGGTCGTCCTGTAAAAATGACTGCAAGAGCACAGCGCAGAATGCTGCATGAGGTAAAGAAGAATCCCAGAGTGTCAGCTAAAGACCTACAGAAATCTCTGGCACATGCTAACATTTTTGTTGACACATCTACAATAAGGAAAACATTAAACAAGAATGGAGTACATGGGAGGACACCACGGAGGAAGCCATTGCTGTCCAAAAAGAATATTGCAGCACGTTTGAAGTTTGCAAAAGAGCACCTGGATGTTCCACAGCACTACTGGCAGAATATACTGTGGACAGATGAAACCAAGATTGAGTTGTTTGGGAAGAACACACAACACTATGTGTGGAGAAAAAAAGGCACAGCACACCAACATCAAAACCTCATCCCCACTGTGAAACATGGCGGAGGGAGCATCATGGTTTGGGGCTGCTTTGCTGCCTCAGGGCTGGACGGATTGTTGTCATTGATGGGAAAATGAATTCCAGAGTTTATCAAGACATTTTGCAGGAAAACGTACGACCATCTGTCCGCCAACTGAAGCTCCGCAGAGGATGGGTGATGCAACAGGACAATGACCCAAAGCATACAAGTAATTCAACAAAACAATGGCTGCAACAGCACAGAATACGCCTTCTGGAGTGGCCCAGTCAGAGTCCTGACCTCAACCCGATTGAAATGCTGTGGCATGACCTTAAGAGAGCGATTCACACCAGACATCCCAAGAATATTGCTACACTGAAACAGTTTTGTGAAGAGGAGTGGTCCAAAATTACTCCAGATCGTTGTGCAGGTCTGATCTGCAACTACAGGAAATGTTTGGTTGAGGTTATTGCTGCCAAAGGAGGGTCAACCAGTTATTAAGTCCAAAGGTTCACATACTTTTTCCTCCCTGCACTGTGAATGTTTACATGTTATGTGCAATTAAACCATGGCAACATCTAATGTTTGTGTAGTATTATGTTCAGCAGACTGTGTTCTTCTATTGTTGTGACCTAGATGACGTTCAGAGCACATTTTATGTCCAATTCATGCAAAACTCCACGTAATCCCAAGGGGTTCACATACTTTTTCTTGCAACTGTATATATATATATATACACACACACATACACATACACATACATACATACATACATACAAACACACACACACACAGTATTTTTTTTTTTATATTTTTCCATTATTAATATATATATATATATATATATATATATATATATATATAAATAGTAATTTAAAAAATCTCTAAAAAAATTGTGTGTGTATATATATATACATATATATAAAATAATTATTAAAAAAACTGCTTTTGATAAATGGCTGAGCAGATATCGTGTGACATAAAAATTGCAACAGCTACCATTTTATTCTCCAGGGCCTCTGCTTTTAGAAATGATATAACATTTTGAGGGGTTCTAAGTCATTTTCTATCAAAAAAGAAAATGCAGATTTTTTTTACATTGTGTGAGAAATGTCAGAACTGGCTTGGTGGGCGAGTGGTGAAAAAATACCATAGTGATCCCCCATTATCCTTGACCGTAATGGGAATGTATATATTTCTCTGGTCCTTGGGGGGGGTATACAGGTAGAAGAGCTGAACTTGATCAATACCTCCTACTCTCTAGCTCCCTTGTCTCCTCCTCCCCACGCTCGTCTCCAGGACATCTCCAGAGCTTCCCCCATCCTCTGGAACTTTCTACCCCAATTTATCAGACTATCACCTACTCTGCCCACTTTTAGGCGATCTCTGAAAACCTCTCTCTTCAGGGAAGCCTATCCTGCCCTCAGCTAATAATGGAATCTTCTACTCCTCCTACCAGTCCATCCCCCACAGTTACTACGTTTTGTACCAGTAGCCCCTCCCTCCTAGATTGTAAGCTCCCAGGATCAGGCCCTCCTATCCCTCTTGTATTGAACTGTATTGTTGCTGTATTGTCTCCCGTTATATTGTAAAGCTCTGAGCAAACTGTTGGCGCCATAAATCCTGTATAATAATAATAATAATATAAATCCTGTATAATAATAATATAAATCCTGAATAATAATAATAATAATATAAATCCTGTATAATAATAATAATAATATATAAATCCTGTATAATAATAATAATAATAATATAAATCCTGTATAATAATAATAATAATATATAAATCCTGTATAATAATAATAATAATAATATAAATCCTGTATAATAATAATAATATTAATAATGATAATAATAATAATAATATAATATAAATCCTGTATAATAATAATAATAATATATAAATCCTGTATTATAATAATAATAATATAAAAATCCTGTATAATAAAATAAAAATAATAATAATAATAAAATTAATATATAAATCCTGAAGAATAATGATAATAATAATATAAATCCTGTATAATAATAAAAATATATAAATCCTGTATTATAATAATAATATATAAATCCTGTATTATAATAATAATAATATATAAATCCTGTATAATAATTATAATAACATATAAATCCTGTATAATAATAATAATAATATATATAAAATAATAATATATAAACCTGTATAATAATAATAATAATAATAATATATAAATCCTGTATTATAATAATAATAATAATATATAAATCCTGTATAATAATAATAATATATAAATCCTGTATAATAATAATAATATAAATATATAAATCCTGTATAATAATAATAATAATAATATGTTTTAATTCCTTTTGCTCCGCACAGGTACCCCCCCCCCCCTCTTCTCCCCAAGTCATGTCTATGCTATGGCCCTCATACCCTGATTTTGAGCATAGATGGGCCAGCAGTGACCCCGCCCCCACCCTGCACTCATTCTGTAGATAGCGAAGCCGATAAATGCCTTTCAGGAGTGTAAGTGAGAGCAGGTCACCCTACCAAACACTATCATATTCTCCATGTACCATTAAGTGTTTCCAACCCCCCCTCCCCCCCATGTGGGGGGGGCACATTACCAGTCGTACATCATGTCACAGAGATCTGGTATGAAAAGGCTGCCGGTAACCCAAGAACGGAACTAAAGAAGCCTGCCAGGAGTGTAAAACCACATTCAGATGTGCGGAGAGCAGGAGAGAGCGCGCCCTGCGCTGCCGGCCCGCCAAGGTCACCCCGAGGACTTATTACACTCTAAGTGGGAGCATATGCAGCGCTGCTTAATATGATACCTGCGGGGCGACCTTCCTGCGGTAGCCGGAGTTGCCTCGAAAAGGTTACGCCGCTCTGTGCTTAAAGGGGGACTCCGGGCCAACCAGCCATCAATGCAGATAGAATTCATTAGCGCGTCGTGCAAACTTGGCGCGCCGTCATAACCACCTGACCATACACACAGCAATTACAGTACAACCACCTTTGCGGTACACATCAAGGTAAAACTAAAAGCGTTTGCAGCACAATTCCTTTCATTTAACCCTTTAATTCTTTCACTGTCAGAGCCGTTATTTTTTTTCAATTAAAAAAAATAATTTTAGGTACTGTGGTTTCAGAATTGTTGATATTACCCCTGCATTCACTATATCTGGTCTCCCCGGACCCTGCATTCACTATATCTGGTCTCCCCGGACCCTGCATTCACTATATCTGGTCTCCCCGGACCCCGCATTCACTATATCTGGTCTCCCCGGACCCCGCATTCACTATATCTGGTCCCCCCCGGACCCGGCATTCACTGTATCCGCTCTCCCTGGACCCCGCATTCACTATATCCGCTCTCCCCGGACCCCGCATTCACTATATCCGCTCTCCCCGGACCCCGCATTCACTATATCTGGTCTCCCCGGACCCTGCATTCACTATATCCGCTCTCCCCGGACCCCGCATTCACTATATCCGCTCTCCCCAGACCCTGCATTCACTATATCCGCTCTCCCCGGACCCCGCATTCACTATATCCGCTCTCCCCGAACCCCGCATTCACTATATCCGCTCTCCCCGGACCCTGCATTCACTATATCCGTTCTCCCCGGACCCCGCATTCACTATATCCGCTCTCCCCCCGGACCCCGCATTCACTATATCCGCTCTCCCCGGACCCTGCATTCACTATATCCACTCTCCCCGGACCCCGCATTCACTATATCCGGTCTCCCCCGGACCCTGCATTCACTATATCCGCTTTCCTTGGACCCTGCATTCACTATATCTGGTCTCCTTGGACCCTGCATTCACTATATCCGCTCTCCCCCCGGACCCTGCATTCACTATATCCGCTCTCCCCGGACCCCGCATTCACTATATCCACTCTCCCCGGACCCCGCATTCACTATATCCACTCTCCCCGGACTCCGCATTCACTATATCCGCTCTCCCCGGACCCCGCATTCACTATATCCGCTCTCCCCGGACCCTGCATTCACTATATCTGGTCTCCCCGGACCCTGCATTCACTATATCTGGTCTCCCCGGACCCTGCATTCACTATATCTGGGCTCCCACAGTACACACAACATGGAAATGCAATTATTTTAATGGCTAAATAGCTTTTCTCATCTTGTGACTTCTATCAGTGTCCAGCAGAGCACTGGGTAAAGCTTGAAGGAGGAGTTTTCATTCTCCTCTCACTGTCCTATGAGACTACAGGATCCCTGACCCCCTGCCTGGACAGAGCGGATTGGCCCTGTGCTGATCACATATCCCTCTCTCTCTCCCAAGAAAAAAAAAACTCTCTAGCAATACACACCAAACTGAGCATGTGCAGCTTGCCCCCAAGGCTCTGTTTTATCAGGGATTGGGGACAGTAGAAGAAGGGGAGGTTCAGAGAAGACAGGATCAAACAGCATTTTTACACAATGCAGAGGATTAACCCCTCAGGTCCCACAGTGAGTAGAACAAGCATGCTTTACTGCATCTACAGACTGATTGTACCGTTGTGGGTTCAGGAACACTTTGAGGATTGTTTGAACACCTTGTACTCTGAATGTGTATTGGACAAATTATATCTGATTTTTATATGTTCTGTATTATTCTACATTATTGACTGCAATAAAAATATGGACTGAGAAAAAAAAATGTAGGCATTAGGAAGGCTTAACGAGTGAGGATAAACTTCTAAAACGTTTGTCGTTGGCAAAGTGTCTGAGGGCCGCATGTTACATACCAAAGGGCCACATGTGGCCCTCAGGCCACAGGTTGGGCACCAAAGTGATAAAAATTGAAGACCAACTATTTGGTGCCTAGGCTTCCCCAAGCCATCAGCGACAGGTCCTCTGGAAGAGTTAACGAGTGAGGATAAACTTGTAGAACGTTCGTCATTGGCAAAGTGTCCGAGGGCCGCACGTTATATACCAAAGGGCCGCATGTGGCCCTCCAGCCACAGATTGGACCTCAGAGTGATAACAATTGAATACCAACTATTTGGTGCCTAGGCTTCCCCAAGCCATCAGCGACAGGTCCTCTGGAAGGGTTAACGAGTGAGGATAAACTTGTAGAACGTTCATCGTTGGCGAAGTGTCCGAGGGCCGCACTTTATATACCAAAGAGCCGCATGTGGCCCTCAGGCCACAGGTTGGGCCCCAGAGTGATAAAACTTGAAGACCAACTATTTGGTGCCTAGGCTTCCCCAAGCCATCAGCGACAGGTCTTCTGGAAGGGATAACGACCGAGGATGATAAACTTGTAGAACGTTCGTTGTTGGCGAAGTGTCTGAGTGCCGCATGTTACATACCAAAGGGCCGCATTTGGCCCTCAGACCACAGGTTAGGCCCCAGAGTGATAACAATTGAAGACCAACTATTTGGTGCCTAGGCTTCTCCAAGCCATCAGCGACAGGTCTTCTGGAAGGGTTAACGACCGAGGATAAACTTGTAGAACGTTCGTTGTTGGCGAAGTGTCCGAGGGCCTTACGTTATATACCAAAGGGCCGCATGTGGCGAAGTGTCCGAGGGCCACATGTTACATACCAAAGGGCCACATGTGGCCCTTAGGCCACAGGTTGGGTTTCAGAGTGATAACAATTGAAGACCAACTATTTGGTGCCTAGGCTTCCCCAAGCCATCAGCGACAGGTCCTCTGGAAGGGTTAACGAGCGAGGATAAACTTGTAGAACGTTCATCGTTGGCGAAGTGTCCGAGGGCCGCACTTTATATACCAAAGAGCCGCATGTGGCCCTCAGGCCACAGGTTGGGCCCCAGAGTGATAAAACTTGAAGACCAACTATTTGGTGCCTAGGCTTCCCCAAGCCATCAGCGACAGGTCTTCTGGAAGGGTTAACGACCAAGGATAAACTTGTAGAACGTTCGTTGTTGGTGAAGTGTCTGAGTGCCGCATGTTACATACCAAAGGGCCGCATTTGGCCCTCAGACCACAGGTTAGGCCCCAGAGTGATAACAATTGAAGACCAACTATTTGGTGCCTAGGCTTCCCCAAGCCATCAGCGACAGGTCTTCTGGAAGGGTTAACGACCGAGGATAAACTTGTAGAACGTTCGTTGTTGGCGAAGTGTCCGAGGGCCTTACGTTATATACCAAAGGGCCGCATGTGGCGAAGTGTCCGAGGGCCACATGTTACATACCAAAGGGCCACATGTGGCCCTTAGGCCACAGGTTGGGTTCCAGAGTGATAACAATTGAAGACCAACTATTTGGTGCCTAGGCTTCCCCAAGCCATCAGCGACAGGTCCTCTGGAAGGGTTAACGAGCGAGGATAAACTTGTAGAACGTTCATCGTTGGCGAAGTGTCTGAAGGCCGAACATTATATTATAAAGGGCCTCATGTGGCCCTCCAGCCACAGATTGGACCTCAGAGTGATAACAATTGAAGACCAAATATTTGGTGCCTAGGCTTCCCCAAGCCATCAGCGACAGGTCTTCTGGAAGGGTTAACGAGTGAGGATAAACTTGTAGAACGTTCGTTGTTGGCGAAGTGTCTGAGGGCCACATGTTACATACCAAAGGGCCGCATGTGGCGAAGTGTCTGAGGGCCACATGTTACATACCAAAGGGCCGCATGTGGTGAAGTGTCCGAGGGCCGCATGTTACATACCAAAGGGCCACATGTGGCGAAGTGTCCGAGGGCCGCATCTTACATACCAAAGGGCCACATGTGGCCCTTAGGCCACAGGTTGGGTTCCAGAGTGATAACAATTGAAGACCAACTGTTTGGTACCTAGGCTTCCCCAAGCCATCAGCGACAGGTCTTCTGGAAGGGTAACGAGTGAGGATAAACTTGTAGAACGTTCGTTGTTGGCGAAGTGTCTGAGGGCCGCATGTTATATACCAAACGTCTGCATGTGGCGAAGTGTCTGAGGGCCACATGTTACATACCAAAGGGCCGCATGTGGTGAAGTGTCTGAGGGCCACATGTTACATACCAAAGGGCCGCATGTGGTGAAGTGTCCGAGGGCCGCATGTTACATACCAAAGGGCCGCATGTGGTGAAGTGTCCGAGGGCCGCATGTTACATACCAAAGGGCCACATGTGGCGAAGTGTCCGAGGGCCGCATGTTACATACCAAAGGGCCACATGTGACCCTTAGGCCACAGGTTGGGTTCCAGAGTGATAACAATTGAAGACCAACTATTTGGTGCCTAGGCTTCCCCAAGCCATCAGCGACAGGTCCTCTGGAAGGGTTAACGAGCGAGGATAAACTTGTAGAACGTTCGTCGTTGGCGAAGTGTGACGGCTGCCAATTACACGCAGACAAGACACGCTGACCCGTCTCCCCCAGATATCACACGACACACACACACAGACGCGTCGGTATTATTGGCTCAGAGCTGTCACTTCGCCGGCCGCCTCACGCTAATCAGATTAGGCACATTCGCTCCAAGTTTAATATGTAAACTAGCTGTACTAGCTGGGCTCCGCGCCACGGCCGGCTAATGTATGGAAATGTATTCTGGGCAGAAAATATGACTTCGCTGTAATAGGACTTCCGAGAAACGGTGCTGACATCATTTAAATAGAACGATATTCTTTCGAAAGAGAAAAAAAAATGATCTTTTTTGTGTCCTGAAGAAATTAGATTTCTTTTTTTCTAAATGATTGCGAAAAACGCCTGAGACGGTCGGAAAACCGACTTATTGACTGACTAGCTGCCACACAAGTGACAGAAAAAGACAACTTAAGTATCAAAACCCAAGAACAGACTTGTTGAAGTTTACTGGTCCTTAGATGAGGCGGCTGCTTTAGTTTTATTTTTTTTAGGCTGTTTGGTTTCTTTATTTTCACCTGGTGATCCTGCCAGTAGCATACTTCCTGTCTTAGGGTGACAACACCTACGTCCTGTCCTAGGGTGACAACACCTACGGCCCTGTCCTAGATTGACAGCACCTACGTCCTGTCCTAGGGTGACAGCACCTACGTCCCTGTCCTAGGGTGACAACACCTACGTCCCTATCCTAGGGTGACAACACCTACGTCCTGTCCTAGGTGACAAAACCTACATCCTGTCCTAGGGTGACAACACCTACGTCCCTGTCCTAGGTGACAAAACCTACATCCTGTCCTAGGGTGACAACACCTACGTCCCTGTCCTAGGATGACAACACCTACGTCCTGTCCTAGGTGACAAAACCTACATCCTGTCGTAGGGTGACAACACCTACGTCCCTATCCTAGGGTGACAACACCTATGTCCCTGTCCTAGGGTGACAACACCTACATCCTGTCCAAGTGACAACACCTATGTCCTGTCCTAGGGTGACAACATCTACGTCCTGTCCTAGGGTGACAACACCCACGTCCCTGTCCTAGGGTGACAACACCTACGTCCTGTCCTAGGCCGACAACACCTACGTCCTTGTCCTAGATTGACAACACCTATGTCCTGTCTTAGGGTGACAACACCTACGTCCTGTCCTAGGGTGACAACACCTATGTCCTGTCTTAGGGTGACAACACCTACGTCCTGTCCTAGGGTGACAACATCTATGTCCTGTCCTAGGGTGACAACGCCTACGTCCTGTCCTAGGGTGACAACAGCTATGTCCTTGTCCTAGGGTGACAACATTCACTTCCTGTACTGCACTGTCACCCAAGGACTGTAGAACAGATCCCTCTCTCGTCATCTCCATAACATAGAGGAGAGCTCTTCTGTAGTCCCCATAGACAGCCGGGAATAATGTGACTGACACAAGTTCAGCACAGACAGAGAGCAAAGGATAACACACAAGAATTCTGCAGCATCAACAGGTATTTTTGCACTTTTTGAACAGATATAACAAAACACTTTCAATGGTATTTTTAACAGGCTAAAAGGTTGGGGTTTACACGTACTTTAGCCAGTCAATGACACTGGGCGTGCTACACAGGCCCAAAAATGTTCATTGAAATATGTAGGGCTCGTGTAGTACGTTCAGTCCTACTACCCCTCTTTCAATCCTCCTTTTTGCTGGCAATTGCCAGCTATCAAAATGACAGCTGAGAGTTGATGTGGACATACAGCACTGTAAAAATGCTGCTATCAATGTTCAGATGGGAGATAGAGAGATACAA